GCAGAATGTGACCCTCTAGAAGCAGGCTGCCAATAACTGTCAACATACCATCGAAGGCATCTCGACTCAGGCTATACTAGGACTTTAAATCCATTATGTGTCCAATGGCATCCAATTGAGAAACCTTTGCCTGGCCGTGAAGGGGTTTCTATGCCACGGCAAACATATCGTAGAACGCCTTTGTGGTTGCCTCTGGCTCCTCCTCCGTACGTCCTTCAGCGAACTGTGCCTCGTGATAGTCATTTAACATGTCTGCTACCCCGGCATCAGCATCATAATCCTCGACGCGTGGTCTCATCACCTCCTCTCTCATACGATCGGCTTCACCATGGTACACCCACCGGGTATAGTCTGTCGTAAATCCATTCTTCCAAAGATGTTCCTCCATGACCTTCTTCGTTTGTCTTTTCCTATTTGCACATTTGATGTAGGGACAGCAAATTTTACTCTCCTTTAGTAGCCACGCCAAATGCCCGTTCCAAGAAAGCATCGGTCTTGTCGATCCATTCATTGGTGACCTGACCCTGACTTGCGCGGCCCGTGTACATCCACTCACGGTCCTCCATCCTCTAACATATATAGCGGCGAGTAATATAAACATCAATTGCATCTACACAATGTTCCTACTATCTAATAGGTGAGGATAGGTCCTAATCCCACGCGAGGATCTGTAGATGAGGTTAGTTTCCATGCTCTACTCCTATCCGAGATAGAATTTCGGCAGCACCTCCCCGCTGTTCTCCAAATACGTCCTGCCAGGGAGAGTGTGTATCCGGAGAACAACAGGGAGATGATGCCGAAACTCTGTCTCAGATCGAAGCAGACCATGGAAACTAACCCCACCTACGCATCCGCGGGCTGTCCAAAAAACGTGGACAATTCAAAACAGATACGGTTTTAGATATGGAAATATCTGCATATTTCCAACTGTATCTCTTTCGAACGGGAGACGCCTAACTAGGTTACGTGATCTATGACCATGATACAGAAAGAGGGTTTATACCTAGGGTGGCGGTGGAGTCAGGCTAGCGGGGCCATGGCGGGTCGGTGCAGTGGCGAGGCGACGCAGTGCAGTCAGACCCGCAGCGGCGAGGAAGGCGATCGGGGTCGCCGAGGTACTCTGGCTCCGCTCCGATGGGCTCTTCTCTACCAAAAAAGAAACATAAAACTGTCATTACAAAATTTCGGCAGCACCTCCCCTACACGGTGAGGTTTCCAAAACCTACAAGAAAACCAACAGCGCGATGGCCGACATGCACATATATATGAACGGCACGATGGCCGACATGCACAAGATTATGTAAGGAACACCTATCAACGTAATCAGGATAAGCAAGGATCAGGGATTACAAATTCAGGATCTGTATCCCATTACTAATATATGTACACGAAGGAACACCTAGCAATGTAACAAATGCTACTGAAATCTTGAAAAGAGTGAGGTAGTGTCTAATATTTCTCCAACACATATAAGCAAGAATGTATGAGTTAGTTTAGTGACCTTTGGGAAGTTATACATTGTTCAATACACAAGGGAAAGCAAAGTCCCTAATTTTTATCCTTTATTTCTAGGAGACAAACATGCATAGGAATGATGATGTATAACAAAGTACTGATCTAATCACAGATATGTGAAAACAAACAATAGCAATCAAACAAAAGACAACTTAACAAAGTTTATTAATAGTCTAGCTGGGTGCTGCCTACAATATTTAGGTGCCATTTTATTATCCAAAAGACAAGCGTAAAAAGTATTTTGCTCAAGTTAAAATGCTCAGTTAAACAAAATTGCCAGGTGCTAACTACTGACCAGATATTCCATAAGCTAAATTAATTTATGACAAACATCAATCCATGCATCCACAATCCATCCATGCTAAACCTCAGGTTTGCAACTATGCACCATAACCGGCGTCCACGAAGGCACCCTAACCAAGACATCTTAATCTATTTATGCATCCACATCCATCAGGCGAAGACGGCATAGGGGCTCACCACTGCAGAATGGCGAAGCACAGCATGACAAGCAAGGTGACCATTCAGCTCAGAGAGCGCTGCGAGGGAGCGCCGATGCTGCAGGACCACGCCGCTGCGATCGAGATGGCTGATCTGGTCGCCACCCACTTCTTGGGGGCAGCTTATGCCCCAAGCGGCGTTGTTCTTGCAAGGCCAGCTGCAGAGCTGCCATGAGGCGAAGCGCCGTTGCTTCCAGCGGCCTCCTTCTCTCCCTCCTTCTTCCTCCTTCCTCCTCTCCTCCTCTCCTCCTCTCTCTCCTCCTCCTCCTCCTCAGGCATGGGCAATGCACTGGGCGCGGCGGCGGTGGCCTGGGCGCACTCTGTGTGTGTGTGTGTGTGTGTGTGTGTGTGTGTGTGCGTGTGCAGGCAAGTGCTGGGCGGGGGGTTAATCTCCCTTGCCGAAAGTGCCCCGATCCGCACTCGCAAACTTTTTTTAATTTTTTTTAATTCTCTGCCGAGTGCCACCTGACACTCAACAAAGAGAGTTTTTTTTAAAAAAATTCTTTGCCGAGTGCCCCCTATCTGACACTCGGCAAAGTATTTTTTTATTTTTTTTAAATTCTTTGCCGAGTGTCATCCGGCCTGGCACTCGGCAAAGAGGGGTTTTTTTAAATTTTTTTTAATTCTTTGTTGAGTGCCATACGTACTGGCACTCGGCAAAGAGGCTCCTTTGCCGAGCGCCAAACGCAGACACTCGGCAAACCGTTTTTATTTTTTTCGTCCTGCCCCTAAACTTTTTCTGTAGTTCTCATACAATACCTGGTACTCCATATTCCAATGTGACATATTTCTCGGACTTTTTCTATATTTATTTAATTTATTTCATTTAATTAAATTTTCTTGAATAATTCAAATTATAATTGCTAGTCAAACCGAAGAATCTCCGAAGACTAGCAGTTATAATTTGAATTATCCAAGAAAATTCAATTAAATGAAATAACTTAAAAAAATATAGAAAAAGTCCGAGAAATGTGCCACATTGGAATATGGAGTACCAGGTATTATATGAGGACTGCAGAAAAAGTTTGGAGGTCAAAAGTGAAAAAAAAATATGGTTTGCCGAGTGTCAAAAAATGACACTCTGCAAATCACCACTTTGCCGAGTGTCAGGAGAAGACACTCGACAAAGAGTTAACGGCGGCTGCCGGCCGTTAACGGCGGTGGCCCTTTGCCGAGTGTTCTGGTCTTCCGAGTGCCCGACACTCGGCAAATAGCCCCTGTGCCGAGTGTTATTGTTTGCCGAGTGCTCGGCACTCGGCAAACCACCTCTTTGCCGAGTGTCAGTTGTTTGCCGAGTGCTTTCTCTCTGACACTCGGCAAATAGCCCATTTGCCGAATGCCCGATAAAAAGCACTCGGCAAAGTCTGGGACACTTGGCAAAGAAGCCGTCTCCGGTAGTGATCATCTATAATAACAAATTAGTTTTTCCTTAAATTCTCCATGAGTATGTTTATATTGTGCATTTTTTTTTGAGTTTGTAGATCTAATATATATTTTCCCAAAAATAAAAATATGGACAATGTTAGAAAATTTTGACTCTGAGACAAAGGTGAAATGAACTGTATAATAGGATTTAAAAAGTACAGACATGAATGAGCCGGTAACTCGGGCAAACCAATTATACTGTGATGAAGCCGCGTTTGAGCTATGGCACAAATTAAAAGGGTCATCTGTGCAAGCTATTTGAGTTTGCTCTTTGCAGGACGACAGTCGGTTCCATCTTTATTCTTTGGCTCCAGCCCCAAGCAAAGAGCACCCGGCCGCATGTATCTTTTTTCTTGATGCCAATGCCAAAAGTTACAAGCTTATCTGGAGAAGCAACGGAACGGGGAGCTAATCGCAGGCAACTCGATCCCCCCTCGCATAGTACTACCTCTCCTCTGTCCGCTACCTCTTGCTGACAGCACCGTTTCTTGCATTGTGCTCTCCGATCGCAGCTCTGGATATTTTTTATATACATACAGTGTAGCTAGTTGCCAAGGTACTAACAACTTCTATGCTTCTTGATTCCATATGGTTGTTACTACTCGGCACATGTTTTTTTCCTCTTTGTCTCATTCTATATATATGCAGCATACATAGCTAGGTGCCGGCATGCATGTGTTCACACCGGACGCATGTATAATTAGCTTTATTTTGTTCTTGTGGATTAGGGATTGGAGATCCATCTGGAAGCGATGGAGTAGATATGGGCTACAAAAATACCTCTGGAGCTTCTTCAGTTTGCTAATCTTTTCTATATATACAGACTCGTCATGCTGCCGGAAAAAATAGAGGTATGCCCCCCTCCCCCATTGAAGATATAGACCGTGTACTTTTGGGAACAAACACCAGTATATATAATGTCTAATTTTATTATCAGTGGCTTTCGCAATTACTCTCAAAATAGGAGTACGTGGACAAATGAGAGACATACCTCTGTTTGGATCACAAGGCTAAAAATTAGCCTATCTTGTGATAATAATAAGCTAAATATTGGCTAACTATAGGCTAATAAGGACTGATAAGTTCCAACCATCAATTAGTCCTCATGAGCTCTTATTAGCCTAAAGTTAGCCCATATTTAGTCCTTCTATTTCCTTCTAACTATTAGTCCCTAGATCAAACAGACATATTCATAATTTTGTATTCTACGTACTACCACATTTATTTCTGTTGTATTATATAATAGCCCTTCAGTCTTGTGGTTCAAATTCAGTCGGGGCTGGCGGTCCTCAAGTCCTCAACTCCCCACGCCCTTTCTCCATCCATTCTTTCCTCTCTCTCTCTCTCTCTCTCTCTCTCTCTCTTGATCTCGTCTCACTCCAAGCTCTAGATCAAGTAGGACAGCTAGCAGCCACGACCTGGGCAACAACGCGGTGGAATGCTGGTCGGCGCGGAGGGGGGCCGGATTCCCGCCGTCGTGGACCAAAGCTGCGATATCCTGTAGCCTACCGATTTGGCTGAGTGGATCGGACGTTGTAGAGTCGACAAAGGACGGCACAAATGGCAACGCTCAGGGCCATGATGGTGGTCACCACCATCGCCCTACGTGGTTGTACAGCATTGGAGGCCCCATGCGGCAGGCAGGAGCTCAGCGAGTGCTGGCAGCAGCCATGTGAGACAAGGGTGGCGAGTAGTACCTGAATTCTATTTGAATTAGAGTGGGGGCTGATAAGATTAGCTGTCCTAGAAAATAAAACATCTTGATCGGTTAATTCTTAAAACCTTGTGCACAAATATTTTTCTTCATCGGTGCAACAATTAATTCTTAAATATATCATATTAGTTTATTTGCTTTTGACCACATGTTAAGTTCCAACCAAAGAAAAAAAAAGAAGAAAAAGAAAGATCTAAACTGGTACTCTGCTCCTTGTGCTAGTTACTGTGTGTTTGTGGAGTGAGAGTGGCCTTCTTAACTAGTTAATTGTTGGCTTCAAACAAAAAAATACAGGATTTTAGGGCGGTCGATGTCAAGACGGCAGTACAACAAATATCTCGTTACTTAGAGGACACAAGCAACGATGCACCTCAGGTCATCTACTTCGACGGATGGGATGGACTGGGTGCTTCTGCGGTGCTTAGAGCTATTGCAGAGCACCCTCCACCATCTTTACGAGAGAAATTCGATAAGATCATCCACATTGACTGTTCAATGTGGAAGAGCCGAAGAGCATTGCAAAGGGTGATCGCAGACGAGCTCAAGCTCACTCAACAGCTAGCGGCTGATTTTGACGCGCAAGACGAGGAGGACGATTTCAGTGGGGTAGACCATGGCTCCAGAGCTGAGGTTAGAGGCGTCATGGCAGCAATAACTCGTTACCTAGTACAGTACAGATGTTTAGTTGTCTTTCACAATGGAAGTGATGACAAGGTTGACTTGACTAGCTGTGGCATTCCACAACCTGAAATCTTCAATACTAAGGTATTGTGGACCTACAGAGGATGGCTTCGCCTCAAAAGAGAAATTCGTCTCAAGGTAGAGAATTCACAACTTTATATTTATGCTTATGATGACCTTCACGACAACTGGAATGCATACCTTGAGGAAGATGCTAGAGAAATCGCTTTGCACATGTATAAGCTTGGCCTTGGAGTTACACCTAAAATAGCCACAGAGTGTTGCTTGTACCTATTGTCGTTGAATAACCAAGGTAAGAAGATGATTGACTACAACTGGGCAACCCATGCTTCCTGCTACTGGGTTTGCGATGGGATCATAGGAGGAGGACAGGACAACCAGACATGGGAGGTTGCTCATGCTCTGCAGCAGCATATAAGACTAGAAGACTACTCATCCAATGCAGAGCCAGAGCTTATGTGGTCTGTGGAGAAATTGGATCTTTCCTCAAAACAATGGATTTCTATTACTGAATCATATTTCAAAGAGGTTGCTCCAGATACAACAACATTGTTCTTTGCACCCGACAAGTCAAGTCCACGAGCAGTATCATTACCTAGTGACAAGTTCCATAAAGCAGATCAACTCCGGGTGCTGAAGTTATGTGGATGTACCTTCAGCTTTTCATCACCTCCATTCCATTGCTGCCACAACTTAAGATTCCTTGGACTGGATAGATGCAAAGATGAACTGCAACAAGGGGAGGAGGAGGAGGAGGAGAAAACAGGTGAACCAGCGGTGGAAATTTTTCAGCGGCTATGGGTGCTAGATGTATGCCACACGGATTGGCCATTGCCTTTTCCCCCAGAAACAGAAGAGCAAGTGGTGGCTACAGACATTAGAGAGGTTCATATAACCAACGGAAGGATTTGGACCAGCAACCTTGCATGGAGACGCCTGCCGAACCTTCACAAGCTCCAAGTAGTTGAGCCCACAAACCCTTGGGAGACAGAAAGAAGAGATGAATTCATGGCTATGGTGAATCTGGAGCTCCTTGACCTATCTGGGAACAGCACCATACAAGTCTTGCCGAGCCTTTCGGGTGCAACACGCCTCAAGACACTGATTCTAGATGGTTGTGTTGGGTTGGAGCATGTTGACCCTCAACAACTCCCTCCATCACTTGAATCATTCTCATTGAATACCGCAGGAGAAGATGAGGATCTCCAGAAGAAGAATGTTGAAATATCTTACATCAGCTTGGCTGGGTGTGTAAGATTAGCAAACTTTATACTGCGTGGGTCACTGCCAAACCTTGAGGAGCTGGACCTCTCTGCACACAGCAATCAAAATCCTTGACCTTGGAGAGGTGGTTGAAGTAAAAAATCTTCAGCGGCTCTTCTTGATGGGATGCGGACAGCTCCGCTCAATTTCTTGGCCCAAAACCGAAATGTACAAAGTAAGGCTGTTGTGCATTGACACTAGAGCAGGAGGAGAGCTGGACAATAGAAAAACATGGCAGTATGATTCTTTAATGGTCTACCAGCACGACGAAGTAAAGGAGTATTGTCATGCATCTGTTGCCGTTGCAGACATGAGGTTCCTTCAGTCCTTGGAGTTTCTTTGGACAAGGGAAACCATTCGATGTGATAAGTGGAATCTCTGCTTGTCATCTACCAGCGATGATGATGGAAGAGGCTGCCACAAGGAAAAGATGGGCAGTCATTATAGCACTGGACAGCTAGCTGCTGCTCTGTCTCTGCCCAAGTCATTAACCTACCATGACATCAGCATTGAACAGATATCTGCAGAGATCGATATCAGCAGTAGCAGCAGCTCAGAGCAATTTCTGCCACTAGACTTGAACATGGACATTGGCGAGGGAATTAGTGACGTCACCGACAAGTCCAGCACGCGGGCAAGGGATGCAATACGTAATGTGATGAACAGTGTGCAGTCGTTGCACGTGCACGACAGTTCTTCCATCACCAGTGTTGCGCCTCAACACATTTTAATGAATGGGCTCAAGTGGTGCTGCGTGGAGAGATGCCCCAAGTTGGACATTGTCTTCGCCACTAACTATTACTGGAGATGCTTTTCTAATTTCGAAATCTTTTGGGCGGCTCATCTCTTGATGGCCCGTTCTATTTGGAGCAGACCAAGAAATCCAAGGTTGCATGCAAGTGAATTATCGTTTACACAACTGCGGGCTATTCATCTGCACTTCTGCCCGAGGCTCAGATATGTCCTCCCGATGGCTTCGAACAATACCTTATCCAAGGTGCTGGAGACTCTCCACATACACTGCTGCGGTGATCTCAAGCAGGTCTTCCCCGTGGAGCAAGAGTTCCTAGAGAAAATAGCGGCCAGACATGAAAAAGGCATGCTGGGATTCCCAAACCTCAAGAGCCTATACCTGTATGATCTCATCAGTTTGCAACAGATCTGTGGGGCAAAGATGTTTGCTCCCAAGCTCGAGACCATCTATATCAGAGGCTGCTGGGGCCTGAGGCGTCTCCCGGCCACTGACAGTCGCCGCCGTGAAGATGGCCGCCCTGTGGCCGTGGACTGCGAGAAGGATTGGTGGGATAATCTGGAGTGGGATGGGATGGAGTCTGGCCACCACCCCTCCCTCTTCCAGCCGAGCCATTCCAAGTACTACAAGAGGCGTCACCTGAGGAGCACGGTTCTCCGCTGAGCTAGCCGACATGATCACCTACTTGCTGCTAGCTTCCTTCTTCTCCTGGTACGTTACACGCATGATAAAGCATCTTCCTCCCCTTAATTATTTGTAGTAATTTATTTCAAGTTAATTTCATTTCTTGTTCCGCGTACTGATGTTGGATCACTCTCTGTAGATTAATCTAGTGTTGGATCGACAGGGATGATGACAGACAGTGCTTTCTTCTGTCATTGGGTGCTTCTTCATATATAGCAGTACTGATGCTGCTGCTGCTGCTGTGGTCAACCATGTTGGTTTGTGTTGCTTGGCAAGTCTTCGGTGTGTTTTCTCAAGAATGAATAAATAACTTGGTTTCTGATGCTACCTGCCTACTTGCATCAACCAAGTTTGTTACATCGGTGTTGATGTGTGTGCTTGATACTACAGGAGGTGTGAATTTGTGTGTACATGTCTCTATTGAGTCTTGAGAGACTGTAACTGATTGATGTATCATTTTGCTTTGGTTTGGTTTGCCTGGTTATCTGTGTGCGTGTGAGCTTGAAAATTGAAATAAGAGGCTGGGTTTGATGCCTCCACAGAACCCAACCCCATGGTGTTCAAGTGTTGCTTTTCAGTTTCATTGAATGTATTGGACACAATGTATGTATGCTTGTCTGTGATCCATGCAGCAGCATGCTAATGCTGCCAGCAAATTATTAAATGGCTTGGTTTGATCCACATGGAGTGTTAACTGATTTATTTGTTTACAGTATTCATGCGTAGTACATGTTTCGCTAGCTATAATAGCTAGTGTATGGGTGCATTCAGGGGAGATTAAGCAATAGCACTGGCATAACTGATACCATTCATGGGAAACTGAAGGCGTCGGGGCTGTTCATGCACTCTACATTTCATCATGTACTTCTTGTTCTGATAGACCACAAAGGCGCGGAGTTTTTCACACAAAACTGTCAAGAGTGCAATGGAAGCGCGCACCAACATACAAGTGGAGAATAAGCAATATAATGCCACAACTTGTATACAACTTCACATGTTTCATTGTGACAAATGTGTCTCACAACTATACTGGGAAAATTTTGCTAAGCCTTACAGTCCTAAGTTCATCTAGCCCACTCGATGTTCAGGATAGAAGTATAAACAAGGATATAAACAAACACCAGAAGTTTATTCTCGCTAACCTTCAGCCTAGGACCATCAGCAACCTAGTTGCCTACATGAGTATGAGCTTTGACAGAGACGCCCAGGATTAGGAGCTGATGGCCAAAAAAAACACTAATGCTTTACAATGGTATAACCCTGGTTAAACACGGGCAATGTTCATAGGATAAGCAACTTTTCCTCCTGAACTTTTCATGCTTTGGTTGTTGAATCTGCCGGCGATGAACCTGTTGGTGAGGGGCATGTATCGAGATCCCGTTTGCCCTTTGATTTCTTCATCTTCGCTTTGAACCGGGACTTAGCCATCAAGGTGTCTACTGTGTTTGCAAAGTTACCAATTGCCATTGCAATCAGCAGGATCCCGCAGACCACAACCTGTGACATAACACAAAGCTTATAACACGGATAAAATACTACAGAATCCTGGTTGCATTAACAACTAAAAATACAATGGGATCCTAGTTCATTAACAGCTAAAGTCTCTGACCTGCCACTCAGGGACGACGCCAATATGAGCTGTGCGAAGAAGTAAAACCCCGACATAACCCTCAAATCCCTAAACAAAAAGGAAAAAGAACAATCAGATGTTTCCTCCAGGGGGCATATGTTTATGAGAAGATTGTAACATCATGTTGCATGATGCAATCATGAACCAATCAATAGTAATGATATTCGATATAGAAGACTTGGCACTGTCATCAAGAAATTCTCACAAAAGCATCGTTTATTTATTAAAGAATATGCAAAGATAATTTCATGACATTGAATAGGAAAATTAAGTTTGCAATGTATAACCCTAGATGAGGTTATGCAGTAACTGCAGGTTGTCATGTTCGGCAGCATGCAGCTATCAGAAGAAAGAATACCTGCAAGAGAAAAAGGAGAGGGCACAACAGCAACAATTGACCTTCAACGCCAGCAGTCTCTCCCCATACAACATCCATTCTTTTAGCCTGATGGCAAAGCAAAATTCCAGTTACAAAATATTACTTTTACTGAAGTAACTGCGCGACTAAATGCCCTGCAATGTATAGAAAGATGGGTAGACCATGCCAATTGTGTGCTTCCTCCGATCACAAGTATAAGTCCATTTAGGTTTGTCCTAACTCCTATGTCAAACTTCTTCAACTATGACCATCAACATCTAAATTATATAAAGATTGGTAAAGCAAGATTGACATTGTTAGACTCGATATAAGAAATACTTTCATAAATTTTGAACCTTGTATTTTAAATCTATATAAAAATTTAAGATAGTGATGATCAAAGCTAAACAAAATTTGAGTCCGGACAAACCTAGATTATTTTATATCTGTGATGGAATGAAGTAAATTCTCTCAAGACAAGCGTGAGATACTGAGATCCTCCATTTTTGTCAGAATATTACCTTCCCCAAAGCAATCCTAGTATATAATCTTTGACGCTGATATCTATTCTGCAACATCATAACAAATCCTTGCATTATGGCCCAGCACAGAAAAAGTTCAACGCCTCTCTGTCAAAAGAAGAAACAGGTTAAGCACAGGCATTTGTATACATTGCATAATGGAAAGATCTAAAATGCATACCTGCTTGCGTGCACAATTAGGTTGCCCCTTTATCTCCCATGTGAGACTTATAAGAGACATCAGCATGGCACAGTAGTGATGAAGTATCCACCTTAAGGGAGAAAACAAGAAGAAGAGACGGTCACAATATGGAACCGGCAAAAAAGAAGGCAAATGGAATAGTGGATAAATAGGTCTTGGAAAACAGAAGTTATCCCACATGCGTTAGTTTAAAAAAGCTTTTACAGGCCACAACACTCTTAGTTTCTGCAGATATTATATGCCAGAGCATCAGTGATCCTTACCAAGGACGAATATCACTTCCATTAACTCGCAGTATGTTCTCACGCAAAGCTAAACTAGTATACAGGAATAACAACCAAGCCTGTACAAGGTAAATTGAGATATCAGTGTCTTTTGGTGTGGCATGAAAAATAGGATTAATTCAACTATTGCTGCATTGACACAAGCAAGCATTAGAGTGTACCTGGTATAGCTGAACTGGCAATGCTGGAAAGCATCCATTCCATAACCATTTTCGAAGAAACAACAGAATCACCGGAAAACCAAGAAACAGCAAGGCAGTTCTGTCCTGGAAACAGGGGGAAAAGGTGGATTATAAACAAAATAAACTTTCTAGCTAGTCTGGATCTATTATCCAAGGATCTAACATTGATAGCTAAACTAAGATTCCTTTTGCAAAAGCAGAGAGTAAAAGGATGCATCTAGTTTCTTGTTTGTATACTTAACGATGATCAAACATAACATAGAACGATCCAATTCATGTTGATTGTTTCACTAGGAAAAAGTGAGGGAATCAAGAGGGATGTTGTGTTAGCTATTTCTGTAAACTTACATAACTCGAACCTACAAGGTTATAGTTTCAGAGGAAAATCAGAGTTACATTAATTTAAATTTATTTACTTCAAAATTTTATATGTGGATAAAAACTCCCACAAGTTAGACCACTATGTTCACTGAATAGCATTAGATACAAACAGAATTATTATAAACATTTGGTCGGTTGAGCAGCACAGACCTGTAACCTGAAGTCTAACAACCTTTTGTGCTAAAGATAAATTACACATTGTGACAGTGCAAGTTTTCACTTAGTGGAAGCTTTGAGTGAACTTAAAATAACATTGTTCCCAAGATACTTGGTTCAAAGAACAAGCCAAATTTCAAAACTCTAAATCAACTAGTGCCTCCAGCGCGATTATATGATTCACCCAAAGTCCTCATTTGGAAAACACAACTTGACACCAAGAATACCATGAATAGTAGTACAGTTTGACACATACCCTGTAGCTATTGTACTCCTCCTTCACCTTGAGCTGCACCTCCTTCCTTGTTGCCCGCAGATTTACTGGTCCCAAGAACATTTTCAGAAAAGCGCCTGCAAACCCAACAGAAGTACAGGACATTATTACAAATAAAACACAGGCTTCACTCTCGGAAAAAGAAAGATGACAAAACCCAAGAACAAGATGAACGAAGCTTAAAACTACTCAAATAACCTTGCGTCTTGCTCGGGAGCAGCGCCGCAACATCGCCGTCAGCAATGAGGCACGTTGCTCGATCCAAGTCCTCCTCAACCTGGCCAAAACCACACCCACATCAACACGAGCAATCACGCACATTGTGAGGATCAATCACGGAAAATGGCACAGCGATTCAGGAACCCAAGGAACACCAAGAGTTCCCCCTCAGACACCCAGACTACACAGCGCATTGACGCGACCAAAGCTGGCACTTTTTTACAGCAGGCCGAATCGCAGTTCCACAGAAGCAGATCTCCCCGGCGATCCCGGAGCCACCCACCGCCCAGCGACGCAGCATGCAGAGCCAAGCCAGCAGCGCGCCGAACCCTAGGCGCAGCCGGGGACCCGCGCGGCGAGCGATCTCCTCAAACGTCTCCGCGCACCGACACGCATCCGCCGCCGGGCGCGCAGTCACAAACACACAGGGGGTTCGGGAGGCACGCGCGCGCGCACAGACACACAGAGAGCGGGAGTGCGTCGGGAGGAGCGCACCTTGTCGCTGTCGGCGTGCGCTGCGGCGGCCTCGCACAGCCGCCGGAGCTCCCCCTGGACCGCGGCCGCGCGGCGGCGCAGCGCCTCCTCCTCCGCCCGCGCCCGTGTCAGCAGCGCCGCCGCCGCGTCCTGCAGATCCCGCGCCTGCTCCGCCGCGCCGTCCTCTCCTCCTCCCCCATCTCTCTCCTCTCCTCCTCTGCTCGCGTTGCCCCCCTCTGTAGAGCGAGCGGCTGCTCTGTCTATAGGGGCCGCGGGAGTGCGAGGCAGACGCACGCGGCTGGAGGCTGACGGCCGGGGCCCACGGCGAGGTGGGTTAGTGTCGTGGTGATTTGGTTTGTGCTGAGCTTTTAGTTTAATGGAGTGTGTGAATGCGATTAGATTTTTGGCAGCATTTAAATCAGGGGATGTAGATGCAGTAGATTTGGAGCAGGTTAGCTGGTTGATTTCTGGGCTGATAAGTCTAGCTGGTGCTGGTTTGTTGTGAGAGAAAAATACTATAACATAGCTGATAACCCCTGACTGAAATCAACAAGCGAACATGAATGACATTCGTGTGATTTTGGCCTCTTGCACTTACTTTTTTGGGGGGTTTTGTTTGGCTTTTAGGGCTTTTGTAGGCTTTGGTTTACTTGTAGGGAACGAGGAGAGTATGTGTGGCCGATTTTTTTGGTCCGTTTGTGGGATGTGTCATCAATTCATCATGGTTTAACTTTTATAAGAAGATTGTCGTGTTTTGTGTATGGTATAGTGCACGCCATCACGTAAGTTTCAATACTTTGCGCTTTAGGATGACGTGTTATTTGTGTTTTTCTGATCACACGTGTATCAAATTAATACGAAATTAATTAACAAATCTTTAGGTGATTTATTACACTTTTATACTATCGTGGCATTTGTATTCATCAACAATGGATAGTAAATTATCATAGGAATTTCATAGAAAATAGTTTTCATTTTTTCAAAAAAAAATCTTCCAAAATGGCCCTAAATATAGCTAGGGTCAAATGACATTCCACCGTGTCCATAATAGTTTGATACATCCTTTCATCTCGTGCTAGTTGGGATTATTTTTGTTAGTGTGCTCTATTATGGTATTATGATCGCTGACCTAGGTGCCGTGATGGAACCTGGAGTCCCCTGTGGTGTGTGTGCAGCCCATGCGTGGTGGTGCTACTAGGTGCTCGCAGGCGTCGAGGAATATGCTGTCATGATCCATCATGGACCCACGTTAGTGAGCTGTTCTAACTTGCATGGCTATTCCAAATTTCCTTGATGACCAACATACCTCCTTATATGTCTTGGTCACATCCTTGCGTTCTTTTTTAAGACTTGTTGCATTGCTCTTTTCAATAAGATGTTTTATAAATAGTGTGCCTTGCAATGGTACAAACATCTCTCCTTTGAGGATGCAAGGGAACCGAGGCTCCATGTGGATTCTAACCACATGAGTAGCTTATGGATGCCCCCGAGTATCAAAGAAATTGTCGCGACCATTGTAACATCTCATCAATGGACATTCTTATTGAAAGTGATGCCCCTCCCAAATACTCTCCTTGCTGCAATGAGTGACTCCGACAAATCCTTCATTGATGTCTAAGGTCCATGCTATCCTTCTTACATGGATGATACGAATTTGCTTGCTAATTCCTATACCAATCCATGCTTAATGCACTCTCCTTTGAGAGACACCCTTGTCCAACTAAACTATACTCTCAAAGTCACCTTGTCTAACCTTAGAATTCTTGACCGATGTGTCCTACTCCAAATTACATTGATGTCTTCCCTCACCTCGGCCTTTTTTAAATCTCGAGGACGAGATTTCTCTAAGGGGGGAGATTTGTAACGACCCAAAAATCATTGCCGTATAGGTAGTCATTTCTGACCATCCAAGTGTGCATGTTTTAATCCAAATTAGGATCTGACTTGTGCCTAGGCCAACCCAAAACCGAGCACTGCTAGTTTTGGCGGATCGTCCGACATCACCATCGGATCGTCCCTCAAGACATCTCACAGACTTAGGATAATCTTGGCCAACCCGTGCAATGACGGAGTGTCCGTGGTATCCAGCGAAGTATCCGATGAATTATAGAGGACAGTAACCCAGCAACCCGAGAGTGACCAGTTCATACCGAAGTGTCCGTCACTCACGACAGAGTGTCCATCGAAACCGTAGCACACTCAGCCAATCTAGCGGAGAGTCCGCCGCACCTGACGGACTATCCGATAAAACACACCGACGCCTGTCTCATGTAGTTTGATTCGGTGTCACACACACCACATATGGTCTCACTTGTCATTGGCACCACTCACACACAAAACCCCCACCAGCCTCTCCACTCTCTCCATCTCCCTCATTCTCACATTCACGTTTAGCAACAGAGAAGAGAGAAAAGAGAGAAAGGGAAAGGAGAGAAGAGAAGGAAATGAGAAGGAAGAAGAAGGGGAAGGGAAGGAAGGAAGAAGGAGGGCATCGTCGGCACCATGTTGCACCTCATCCACGCTGTCAAGTTCAACGGAGTTGGAAGAGAAGGCCACCCCGAGCACCTTCTTCAACCTCGAGTTTCCATGGAACCCAAGCTCGATCTCCCTCCATGCTGCGTCCCCCGACCGAAAGCTACTTCTTCGTTTGTAGCTTCCCCAAGGCATGGTGAGAACCCCCACGGCATCCATCTTCATCCTCGCTAACCCTAGCAAGTTCCCCCATGAACTCCATGGCCGCCCATGGTGAGATTCACCATTTTTGGTGGACGACCTTCCCGCAGCACATTCATGTCACATCCATCACTTGTAGAGGCTTCCCCACATCAGTAGTAAGCCATAGAAACAAACTGCACTTGATTTGTAACCCGGATGCCCCAGGAATCATTTCCAACGTTTTTACACCCGAGCTGTTCGTCGTTTTATCGGATGGTCTCATCATTCTCATGAATCGTCCGTCGGCGCCAAGATGTTAAATCCTAGCGAACACTCAAGGCGCGTGTGTTCAACTCTCAAGGATCTGCTCCACCGCTTCATGGACCGTCCATTGTACCACAAAGAAAGATAGCCCCAACTTGTAAAGGTCATAGAAGATGCATTTGAACTTTACAAATTATGAAACAAGTTTTGTTGTGTTCTTTAGGATATTCTCTATCATCTAGACATGATCTTGACACCAAAAAGTATATCTTAATTTTGATGTAGAATAATGCATTTTTTAGTGTAATAAATAGACAACTTATTCTCTAGGCGTCTTAAAAGTCATAAAACTTGCTTTGTTAGCTTGCTTTGAGCATATGATGTTTGTGAGACATGTTTTGTGCACCATCTCATTATGTTCATGCACATAAGCTTATCCTTTGTCTCACATAATATAATTTGGCGGAGTGTCCGCGCTCACTACCGAAGTGTCCGCCAAATTATAGAGCTTGGTCTCTAAATAACCCGAGAGCCCCCAATTCCTACCAGAGTGTCCATTGACTATCATGGACCATCCGATGAGGACTAAACACCGAAGATGTTTAAGTCCCAAACCTGACGGAGCGTCCATGAGCTGTGATGGAGTGTCCGTCAGTGCATACTAACAGCACAATAAGACTATGTTACACACACCTAGTACCATGTACTTAGTAGTTCACTACTATACTCGCATCTTTCGTAGTTGCATCATAACCCACACCGTAGTTCAATTTTGGCCTCGGCAGTGATATGTCGACAGTGATGGTCATAGCCTTCACCGTCGCCATTTGGGATCAACTGTGGTGTACACTAACACTGTCGATTGGCTTATGATCCGTCCGTGATTAGGTCCTTACTTTAGTCGCATTGAAGCACGACCCGGCTGTGGATGTACACTAACACCGCCGCATTGGTAAATGATCTGACTGTGTCGAGGCTATCAAAACCGTCATGTGGGCACATCAACCACCTGTGTAGTGGTCACCAGCACCGTCGCCTTGTATGTCGACCCGACTATTAGCAATGTGGGTTCACTATCGGTTCGACGGCCGAGACGCCTGTGTAGAGGTTAACACCACCGTCGCTTCAGCGTATGATCCGTCGGTACAAAGGTCATGGTCACCATCGCCTTACACCACGATCCGCCTTTGATGATCATTTAGTCGATGTCAGGTTACTAGAAGATTCGGCGGTGATATACTTTTGATCCCTGCCACATCATACCTATAGCGATGGTGATAGAATTTCATCCCGTTTCACAATAGTTACTAATTCAGCTGGGCCCTTAATAGCTTAATGAACACAAAGCATATAGATATATAATTATTACATCCATAAATCATATTCACAAACAAGAGTACTTTTTACAATAACAATGGACGCTACCATAACATCTTTCTCAACTGATGTCCTAACACAAGCGGTACATAGAACATACTAAAGGTACTGATCTATACAGACTTACATAACAAAACGACGTAGTTGTGCTCCTTATATGTGGCACTCCTGCTTGTAAGGCAAAATGAATATAATTTGTGCATCCTTCAGATTGGTAGCCAATGCACCATGGAACCCCTCTTATTCATCTCTGATCCACAACCTAAACAAAGTAGCATAATTAATAATATTGAATATCATTTCTTTAGTTAACAAGCCAAAATTGGCCTATACATACATAGAATGAAAACAACAGCCTACTTGAACAAAGACTGTCATGATGACGAAATGTAGGAAATGCACCATTACCGTTCTGCTAATGACTCTATGAACAAGGAAACATAAGAAAGATAGTAAGGCATGTTCATATGAAAACGCCCTCTTGATCTACAAAAGCGGATGACACGGGCATGAATGACATGAACCTTTCTACGATCCATGTCATATGCAATCAATGTTCTATCCTTCCCAACAAGGAAAATGAAATTCCATTCTGGGTGAACTATAATCACTCTGTACTCCTCATCACAAAACTCAAAACCAATTTTAATATTCATGCATCCAAATAGTTCCTTCGTGTCCACAACATGCTTTAAATTCCAGTTATCAGTACTATAGTCTTCAAGTATCCACGCTAAAAGCCAAGACCTATTGCGAAAATCAGCACAGCACACACACAGGTGACCCTGAGCTTGATGGATGGATATTTTAGCACCACCAGGTTTATGAATTGTCCACCATGTCTTTCCCTCTATATCCACAGCAACTATCATAGAGTACTCAACCATGTGCATAAAACCATTTAGAAAAACACTTCTCGATTTTGAACGTAGAACAATACTACCATCGCCCCATTCAGATTCCTTAAAGATCCATGCTGTAGTTTTAGATGAGTAGATCTCCACACCTACGCACGCACCCTCCACCTTAACAAATTCAATCACATGGAAGTGCGAGGATGTTGGTTCAAAATCTAAGTGACCCTGACCAACAAATGGATGCTACGCGACAGTACATGCCATTTGTCGATCGCCGGATTGCATACAACATAGCGACGTAGTCCATCAGGCCCAGCACACCAGCAAAGGATGAGGCCACTTCAACAATCTGAGACTAGGACTTTTTTAAGGGGGAAGGGCAAGAAGGACAAGGAGGGCCATTTGTAACACCATCGGTGTTACATTGTACTGTTCTTGCTAAAACATCGCATGAACATCATATTTATGTGCATATGTGTATAACATGAATTATAAATCAATGTTTGGCACTTCAAACATTTATATGAAACATGAAGCAAGGTTACGTTTCGTGTCACTTAAACGAAATTTGTCGAACGAAAATGATATAGAACGTTGTTGCGAACGGCGATGAAATATGTGCGGTCGAGGACAAGGATAGCTAGTTAGTACATCAAGTAGGTCGGATTTGGGGTTCGACGCAAAATCGTTCAAAACAATGTTAGTTCGTGTAGGTTTGAAAGAAGGTCGACGAAGCTACCTTTGGCAAGTTTTGTAGAACGATCGGCTTAGGAAGCAGCGCGATGTCACAACTTCGATTGATAGCTTGATGTACCCTTTTGCGCATCGAGCAAATAGTTTGGCGTTTGGAGCATCGGGTACAAGTTTTTGAACTGCTTTAAAAATTGTGCACGGCACATGGCCTAGCCCTGAGCGCGATCACCACCTGCTGCTGGCCTGGCACTGTGGCTGGCTTGCCAGCGCATGCTGCCACTCTGCCTGCGCCCCACCGCCATGCCTATGCACGCGCCCGACCTTGCGCTGTGTGCCAAGGCCATCTGCCACCGCTGCTGGCCACGACCACCGCTGCTGCTCGCCTGTCGCTGCTGATGGCTCCCTAGTGCACCGACGCGCAAGCCACGTCTTCGTGCCGCCGTGATTGCGATGCACGCATGGGCCCTGACGCTACTGCCTTGGCTGCTTGCTGCCACTCGCTGGCGCGCGGGTCGCCTCATCATGCCTAACACACTGACGCCGACTGTGGCCTGCCGCGCCGGTCGTATCCCGCTGCCGCGCCATCTCCTGCCCTGTTTTGGCCGGAAGCGCACCGGGTCCCATGCTTCACGTCGCCAGTGGCCACGCACGCCACTGCTCCATTGACTCCCTTGGCTGCTTGTGCTCTAGACGACTACCTGCTTCACCGTCACCTCGACGTCGCGTCCGCTGTGTTCACTTGTCTGGCGCTGCCCGCTGCGATGCCGAGCCGAGCCTCATTGGCTTGCAGCCGCGGCCGTGAGGACAGTCGCCTGGGGCATGTCCCGCTATCCCCATTGTGGTGCGTGTTTGTTTGTTGTGTTGACGTTCGCAGCTAGACCGAGCCAAGCCACGCCAGGACCCTCCCCTGCCTCCACTGTCTCCATGGCCGCCGAGACGGTTCTTTCAAATTCGCCGTGGTAGCTGTGCCTTGCTACAAATTGACTATGTCCTCGACTCCGTTAGGTAGCCTACAGTCCTACCGACCCCACATCGCCGCCTGTAGCTCCGTCCTATGCTCCAATTTTGAATCGCCGCTCATCGGGTCCATAAGACCAGACGAACGCGCACCGTCGACAAGCCATCCACTCCGAGCACCCCGCAGCAATTCATTGCGTTGACAGCTTAGTCGTACCCTCCTGAGCACCCCGTGCACCTCAGCCATAGCCTTACAGTGAGCTAGCCATCACCGACGCAGACGTGCCATCACCGGGCGCCGTTGCATCGTCAGTGCGCACGCGGCCAACTCACCTCGGACTTTCTCCAGCCAGACCATCACCTCAAGGGTCTTCGTGGGTAGTTCCTCGAGCTCGTTAGCTATTTGATTTGTTTTGTTTTCGTTGTGGCTTACGGGAACACCTCCGCCACCACAGGTCAGGGATCACCGCCGGGGAGGGAGCCAGGGACAACGCCTCCGTTCGACGTGTCGCCTTCAGTCGCTGCGATTTGTCTCCGAGGTAATCATCGTCCCCTTAGTTAGGTAGTGGAAGGTCGGGTGGCACCGGCGTAGCCGCCCAGTGCCCGCGCTGTCACGCCGGTGCACGCCCTGGTGCCAGGGATGTCACCGCGGTAAAGAGGAAGAAGGGGGAGGGCGTATCTATAAGAACGTAGACTAAAGGAATAGTGCCTTAGAGCTATCTCTGAATACCGAGTAGATCAGGGGTGTTTTCGCGTAATAGCCATCGCGCGCAGGTCTATCTTTCATCGTGGGCCATTGGCCGGCTGGGCCGCGCGCGCGTGGCGGGCCGAGCCAGCGCAAGTTGGGCCGAGGGCTAAGATTTGGTTTCCTTGATTTCTAGAAAAATAGAAAGG